CCCCGCCGCCCACCAGGATGGACTTGCAGACGCCGGCCACGGCCTGGCACGCGGCCGACGTGGGGAAGTCCACGGGCAGGTTGGGCAGCCCCAGGATGGTGACGAGCGGCCGCAGCCCGCGCTGCGCCACGAACTCCTGGCAGTGGTCGTCCGTCGTGTTGTTGCTCAGGATGGACTCCACAAACTTCATCTGCGGCCACGGGCGGCCAAGGACGGCAGGGTTCAGGGGGGCCCGGAGCGCCCACGGGTCCCCCCGCACCGGCCCGGCGCCCCGCTTACCACGTTAAGGATGTAGTCCATGAGCGGGATGGGGATGCGCTCCTCGGTGCCCACCACCCTGCGGAGAAGGGCRGTGAGGAGGTGCCAGGGGGGCCCCCGGTACCCCAATGGGGTGACACTCACTGCTGGCTGGGCTCGRCGTCGCTCTGCTGCGCGGCGCCGAAGCTCTGCATGGCCTGCACCTCCTCCTCCTCCTCGTCCTCGCTGGACGCCTCCTCGGCGGCGTGGGGCGAGCGGGGCGGCGGCGCCGCCGCCGTGCCGTCCGCCTTCTGCATGGAGGGCTTCTGGCAGATGTACTTGGGGTCCCGGCCCAGGCTGCAGATCTCCTCCAGGAGCTTTTTGGGGGGACGGAGCGGGGTGAAGGGGCCGCCCGGGGCCCCCCGGCACCGCCTGCGCCCACCCTGCGCCCACCTTGATGATGGCCGTGGTGGCGTCCGTCTTGAGCGTGGGCTGGTGCCGCATGAGCTCGTCCACGGCGCTGCCCAGGTTGGAGGCCGTGTCGCCTGCGGGGCGGGCACGGCGGCTCAGCGGGTGGGGAGCCCCCCGAAACAGGGGCTCAGCGGGTGGGGAGCCCCCCGAAACAGGGGCTCAGCGGGTGGGGAGCCCCACAATGAGGGACAGGGATGGGGGACAAGGGCTCAGGTAGAGCGTCCCCCCAAAACAAGGGCTCAGATGAAGGGCCCCCCTCCCCAAGGAGGGACAGGGTCGGGGGGTTCAGGTGGAGGGTCCCCACAACGAGGGGCAGGGTCCCCCCCAAAGAGGGGGGGGGTCCTGGTGAGGGGTCCCCCACAAGGTGCAGGGTTGGGGGCTCAGGTGAAGGATCCCTCCAAGGAGGGACAGGGTCGAGGGACACAGGGCTCAGGTGGGGGGGTCCCCCCCACAACGAGGGGCAGGGTCGGGGGGCCCAGGAGGAGGGTCCCCACCACAAGGAGCAGGGTTGGGGGGCTCAGGTGGGGGGTCCCCCCAAGGAGGGGCAGGGTCCCCCCACGAGGGGCTGGGTCGCGGGGCACAGGGCTCAGGTGGAGGATCCCCACCACGAGGGGCTGGGTCGGGGGGCCCAGGAGGAGGGTCCCCACCACAAGGAGCAGGGTTGGGGGGCTCAGGTGGAGGGTCCCCCCACGCGGGGCCGGGCCGGGCCGGGGGGCTCACCCAGCGGGTCGGAGCTGCGGCGGCGCCGCATGGCGGGCAGGTAGTCGGGCGAGAGCAGCACCTTGAAGAGGCGCTCGAAGGGCTGGCACTGCACGAACGACTGSAGGCCGCGCGCGTTGAGGCACAGCGCGCTGAACACGTTGGGCAGCGAGCCCAGCACCTCCCGYGTGGCCGGCACCTGCGGCGGGGCGCGGCGTGAGGACCCCCCCTCAGGCTGCGACGGGCCCCCCGCGCCCCCCGACTCACGTCCTTGATGAGCAGCGCGTGCAGCATGACGTCGGTGAGGCCGTTGTCCTGCAGGGAGGAGAGCAGCGAGGGCTCCTGGAACACGAACACCGTCACCACCTCCGTCGCTGCAGCGGGACGAGACAGGCGCACTGAGCGGGGGGGCGGCCAAAAAGGGGGGGGGACACACGTGGAGCCCCCCCTTGCCCACCGGGAGCCCCCCGCGGCGCCGCCGCCGCGCTCACCCAGCAGGAARAGCGAGGGCCCGTAGTACTCGGCGTTGCTGATGATGTGTTTGAGCGAGGTGGGCAGCGAGCCGTCCATGACTGCGGGGCACGGCGGTGAGCGCCCGGTGGCACCCATTCCGGTGCCGTCACCCCCCCCCCGGCGCCGTCACCGCCCCCCGGCGCCGTCACCCCCTGGTGCCGCTCACCGTGCCGGATGCCRTCGGAGAAAGCCGGGTCCTGGATGGCTTTCTTGAGGAAGTTGAGCATGGATTTGAGCAGGGCGGCGCGCTGCGGGATGCACTGCACTCCTGCGGGGCAGAGGGACCCGCTGAGCGATGGCGGGGGGGACAGCGGGTGCTGGCACTGGGTGCTGGCACCTACCGCTGCGCGGCGGCGGGGTGCCGGCGGCGCTGGTGCTGGGCCCGGCGGCGCTGGTCGCCCGCGGCTCCGACGGCGCCTCCGGCCGCGGCTCCGAGGCGGACGGGCCGGGACTGCCCTCCATGGCCACGTCCGTCACTGCACCGGGTCGGGGACAGCGGCTGGCTCGGTGACGGGGACCCCAATGGGGTGGCCGAGCCCCCCGCTTGGCGCCCCATCTGCTCACCCTCCATGTCGGTCTCCATGTCCTCGCCCTCGGGCGCGGCGGCGGCCGCCGGGCGCTGCACCTTGGGCTTGATGACGAAGGGGCACTCGCGGCGGCACAGGTCCACCTCGTGCTGCGGGAAGGGGCCACGTGGCGAGGGGGGGACACACACGGGCACGGGGGGCGTGCGGGGTCCCGGGGGGCCCACCTCGAGGCGGTAGATGAAGATGGAGAGGCCGCTGTGCGACTGGAAGGCGGCCATGTCCAGGTTGGTGATGAGGTCCACGACGCGCACGGCCCGCGTCACGAACGTGATCTGGTCCTGCTCGTCGCCCAGGAACTTGATCACCTGCCGGCGGGAACGGGGGGCGCGTGGAGCAGCCGGGGGGACCCCCGTGTCCCCCCCAAGCCCCCAAGGCGACCCCCTCCCTTGGGCACCTTGAGCAGMGCCTCCATCATCCCGCACGACACCAGGGCCTCGCCGCCCGCGTCGTAGCTCGCCAGGTGGTAGAGGAAGGAGAAGAGCGCCGTGGCGAATTGGTGCGGGTAGGGCTCCATGGAGGGGTCTGGGGGGTTGGGGGGGGGGGCGTTAGCGCAGCTGCCCCCCCCGGCGCCCCCCCGGTGCCCCCGCCGCGCACCGATCATGGCCTGGATGCAGTTGCGCACGAGGACGGGCAGGAAGCCGTGGTAGGAGGCGGTGCCCGTGCAGTCGATGATGCTGCTCAGCTTGGGCGTCCGCTCGAGGTGCACGATGGAGGTGAGCGTGCGCAGCGAGGCCGCCTTGATGTCCTGCGGGCACGCGGAGTTGGGGGGGGCGTCCCCCCAAGTGGGGGACACGCTCTGGGGGGGGACACACGCAACGGGCCCCACCATGAGCTGCTTGTCGGTGATCTGCAGCACGTCCACGAGCTCCTCGATGAGGCCGTTGTAGAGGATGCTGTTGGCCGACTCCTGCAGCGCGTTGGAGTAGACTGCGGGCGACACGAGCGCGGCGCCGGGGTCACCTCCGGCAAGGTGGGGGTGCCCCCTCCCCCAAACCCCGCGGCGAGCCCCCCCGGGCGGTACCGAGGATGGAGATGGCGTGGAGCCGCGCCTGCACCGCCTGCAGCCGCTTCTTGTGGTTGGAGAAGCCGTGCGCCAGGCGGATGTGCGTGAAGAGCAGCATCTGCGGGGGGGATATGGGGTGGGGGGGTCAGCAGCTGCCCCCCAACACCCAGCACCACCATGGGGGGAGATCCCCCCCCCCAAAAATCAGTGTCCCCCCCCCAGTCACCTGCTTGTCCTTGGGGATGCTGTACATCTTGGTGAGCGACTCCATGATCTCCGAGGGGCTCTCCGAAATCTAGCCGGGTGAGGGGGGGTCAGCGCGCATCTGCCCCCCGCTGCCCCACAGCTCCCCCTTCGCTGCCCCCTTTGGCACCCACCTTGTCCAGCTGCTCGATGTGGATGTAGTGCAACGTGGTGCTGGTGGCCTGTGGGAGGATGGGGGGCGTGGGCAGCAAAGGGGGGCGGGGGGGACGTGGTCTCAGTGGCACCGGTGGGGACAGTCCCAATGGCACCGGTGGGGACAGTCCCAGTGGCACCAGTGGGGACAATCCCAATGGCGCCGGTGGGGACAGTCCCAGTGGCACCGGTGTGTCGGGGAAAGGGAGGACAGTCCCAGTGGCACCAATGGGGATAATCCCAAAGGCACCGGTGGGGACAGGCCCAGTGGCACCAGGAGGCACAATTCCAGTGGCACCGGCACGGACAGACCCAGTGGCACCGGCCCGGACAGACCCAGTGGCACCAATGGGGATAATCCCAATGGCACCAAGCGGGACAATCCCAGTAGCACCAACAGGAACAATCCTAATGGCGCCGGCAAGGACAGTCCCACTGGCATCAATGGGGACAACCCCAATGGCACCAAGGGGGTAAATCCCARTAGTACTGGTAAGGACAATCCCAGTGGCATCAATGGGGACAATCCCAATGGCACCAACGGGGACAGTCCCAATGCCACCAGTAGGGACAATCCCAATTGCACCACTAAGGACAGTCCCAGTGGCACCAGTGGGGACAGTCCCAACAGCCCCGGTCAAGACAGTCCCAGTGGCACCAAGGGGGACAGTCCCAGTGGCACCAGTGAGGACAGTCCCAATGGTGCCACTGAGGACAGTCCCAGTGGCACCAATGGGGACACTCCCAGTGGCACCAATGGGGACAATCCCGCTGGCACTGGCRAGGACAGTCCCAGTGGCACCAATGGGGCCGATCCCAACGCCAGCGCCATTCTCGATGGCCCCGGGGACATGGGGACACTCACCCGCTTATCCACCTTAACCTCGGCGCCCGGCTCCGCGTAGAACTCGAAGTGCAACGTGGTGGCGCTCGGCGGGTACTTCTGCACCGCGCCCGGGGACAGGGCGGGGGACAGGGTCACCCATGGCCSCCCGGCACCCTCTGGGTGCAGGGTCCCCCCAAACCCCTCCCGGGGTGCAGGGGGGGACACGACGGGGCGCCGCTCACCAGCATGTGCAGGTCGCGGCAGCACTCGGCCAGCCCGAAGCCGTTCTCCTTGCCGCCCCAGCTCTGCGCGAGGAAGACGGCGGCGATGAAGGAGGCGGGTGCCACCCCCCAGCCCCCCCCAAAGAGCCCGCCGGCGCCCACCTCAGCCAGGTGCTGCAGGCGGGAGAGCAGCGGCGCGCGCTTGTCGGAGCCCAGGCGCGTGATGTAGTTGGAGCGCTTGCTGAAGACGTAGAGCAGGTTGAGCACGGCCAGCACCACCTGCATGTCCGACGAGGCCAGCAGCGTCGTGAGGTGCTGCGGGACGCACAGGGACACGTGAGGGCGACGGCACCCACGGGCGGCGGCACCCGCGGCCCCGGCGCCCACCTCGATGGAGCTGTAGAGGTGCCGCGAGAAGCTGTACTCGATGAGCAGCGCCGTGAAGTTGAGCACGGCGAGCAGCAGCGCCTTGAGCTGCTGCCGCTGCGGCCGGTCGCAGGCGAGCAGCCAGGCCATGGCCTCCACGGCGCGGCCGCCCTCCGCCAGGATGCCGTCGAAGCGGTCCAGCAGGTCCACCCAGTGGTAGAGCTCGCACTGCGGCCGCGCGCCCGTCAGCGCCCGCCGCGGGGGGACGGGATTTGGGGGGCCCCCACCCGCCGAGGGGGCTCCCCGCGGTGCCTTCGTTGCAGCTCCGCTTTCTGGGGGGGGCTGCGGCTTGCCGCCCGCCTCAGGCCCCGCAAACTCCACGCACAAATGGGGTGTGGGGGGGGTACAATCGTTACCGAGACCCCACAAACTCCACACACAAATGGGGTGTGGGGGGGGTACAATCGTTACCGAGAC